CTTTCTATATTAAATGATTATAGACCACCAACATTACAAGAACGTATGATGGAAGCAGAAATTCTTCGTATGGAACAAGAAGTTCAACGTTTAAATGTATTAGTTAGATATACACGTGCTGAAAGGGATTAGAAATGCAACGTCGTATAGGTGAATTACGTAGAATATGGAATGATGAATTATTGCTATTATGGAAGCTGCTAGTAGAATATGGGAATATGATGTGATAAGAATTGTTGATATTGTAAAACGTCGTCAATGGGTAAGTTGTATTCAGTAATTGAATGTTTTGAAATTTGTAAAAATGTATTTCATAGATTTTATCCTTTTTAAACTTGACATTGATTTCTTCAACATTCATATTTCGTTCTGATGAGATACTTTAGAACAACATTTCCAGGTGACTTGATATTGCAGTGTAGTTTTTTGAAAGTTATCAACAAAACCCTCTTAATGCTGCCTAACTCTCATTATTGTAACATTATGTGTTACAAGTCTAAATCTCATGCAGATCACTAGTCTCCTTAAGAATACAGAGGACCACAAATGCCCTGGTACGGCCGAGAGTGGGAAGAGTTCGCTCTCCCTCTTGAAATGCTCTGGCATAGCTACGTGTATATAGTCTCTTCCAGGAGGTCTACTCATTGCCTTCTCGTGGCGGGGTTGTTGTTTACGAAATCGAGAGGACGAAAAGCGAATGTCCGGCGATTTAACCGGGTTGGTGGACATGGAGAGTCCACCTAGAGGAGTTGGAAAACCCTCATTCCAAACCAATGGTGCACATGAGCTCCAATATCCTGAAGGAACAAGTGGCCTATGAACTTGTTGTTGGTAACCGGTTACCATAGGACTGCATCTCCTTACGTTGCTCCACTGCCTTGTGGATCAGACCTTCAGGTCGGAGGCTCGGGGAGTGGCCCCCTAAGAAAACCACCTACTTCGGTTTGGGCACTCGAGCAGTATCACAACCCTCACACATATCAAATGAGGTTTGTGTGGCGCACATGTATTTGGTGCCTCCTTGTACCAATATCTATGTGTTAAAATAAATAAGAATACAGAGACACTGCTTGTTGATCAGTTCCAACTATCAATAAATTCTGTGTATAGATATGATTCGAAAAACAAAAGTTTTAAGGAATTTAGAATTTAGGGAAACGCAAAGAACAGATTCACCTGCACCATTGCAAACGATTTTGAGATATGTCATTCAAAGTCTCTAACCATTGGTTACGATAATCATGCGGACCCCAACTAAGTGGTCTAAACTTGTTACTATGATTAAGTCCAATTGTCAGTGACTTCATGGACTGATGTCATGTTTTGGTTTTGCGGCCCCTAACTTTCTTACAGCCTACTCCTGCACCAGAAAACATCACTCATCGAGGTAGGCAGTGGTTGGACATACGTAACACATGTTCCAACCACCTCAGCGGATGAAGATTTACTACATATTCAACTATTTTTTCATCTTTCAGTCAGTCATCTACAACGTAGGACTAGGGACATATACAGATCGGTCCAAATTGCCATGCCTCATCAGCACATCAAAATGAACACCGGATTCATAGAAGCAGTTACTTCAATTGTAATAATATATAAATGAAAGATTGTGTGGAAGGATATAAAGGAATTCTAATCTCACGGTTTGAGAAAAACAAAAAGTGTATACACCTATGCCATTGTGATCGATTCTGAGTCATGTCACACACAGTCTCTAACCATTGGTTACGATAGTCACGCAGACCCCAACCAATTAGTCTGCAACTACCAACATGACTCAGACTGGACGTTAGTGACTTCAAGGACTGATAACATGTTTTGGTTTAGACGACACTAACTTTCGTCCATCCATGTTCAACACTAGTCAGTATTGCGCATTGTAGTTATCGGTATTCAGCCATACGTAACACGTGGATCAACCATCTCAGTCGATGCAAAATCACAACCTCATCAACTAATTTACTATCATTCCCTTATACCCTGTGTCTATCCTCACCATTACTTACCCGGTGATCCCAGTAGATGCAAGCAATATTTCCAAGACATTTGTGATCGAATACTTGTAGTTTACGAGTATCTTCTACTCTTAAAGGCCAGATTTCGCAGCCGTAAAATATAACAGAACGAACTGCTGCATAGTATACTCGTCCCTTAATTGATAGACGGATATCTTACCTTCGTCATAGGTAACATAGGTTGGCAAAATCCAAACGACCTTTTTGAATCCGTGCTGAGATTTCGTCAGACACCAACCCATTAGGGCTAATCAGACCAACATGAAAATTACTCACAAAAAGGTTGTGTGTGATCAACCTCAAGCAGTTGTCCCCTTGGGCACTGTAGTCACACTCTCATGTCAATAAAACCACCCGTAACCTTATTTTAGGTACATCCAGAAGAACCCTTCTACGGTATGGGCTATGGGCAACCAGAAGTAACAATCACCCTGATACCTCTAACAGCATTCAAGATCACATTTCTGTTTATACACATATCTTATCATCTTTTGTATTATTTAAAATATTCAATAAATTTTCTTAAAAATCAACTGATTTGTCACCATATGTATTGTCATTACTATTTAACCAAATATAATCAATTTGTATGGGTCACACTAGGAGCTTTTGACCTAAAGGTCTCATCCACAAGGCAGTGAAACAACGTGAGGAGATGCAGTCGCATGGTAGCAGATGACCAACACTTTGTTCATATACCATTTGGTTCCTTAGAATCCTGGAGCCCATGTACACCATTGGTACACCAGCCCGGTTAGATCGCCGGATATTGGTTTTTTATTCTCTCAATTTCGTAATTAACAGTAATACTGTGGGAAGGCAGTGAGTAGGACTTCTTTGGTAGTGGTTATATACACGTGGTCACTTGAGAGCATTTCTCAAGAGAAAGCTGACTCTCCCCAATCTCGACTGATACATTGATTTTAATTATTTGAGAAGATAATCTAACGTGTTGTACACTAACTTATTTTAAAATCATATTCATTCATTTTATATAATTGAATTGACTCCGTTTTTTTTTCTTCTTTGTTTAAATACATCTTATAGTGTGCATATTGTGGACGTATAGCCTATTATTATTGTTGTTGGAATACATCGTATTGCAATAGTACTTGCCAGTCAAAACATTGGCCTTTTCATATGACTTCTTGTGTACAAGTTAAAAGTCAATTGAATAATAATAAGAAGAATAAGAATAATTTAAATGGTTCTATACGTCATCATTCTCAATCACCTAACATAACCAATTCATCTAATATCACCGATCAACAACCACATTTCTCTTTAACACAACCATCGATTCTTCAACATATTCCACAAAATCCTCCTCCTCATCATCATCATCACCATCAACAACAACAACAACAAAGAATGATTTTACCGAATACATCAAATCCATCAGTTGGTATGTATCGATTAAACAATGATGGTACTTTATTAACTACTAGTAATACTTTATTTCAACGTTCATTATCATCATCTTGTGTTTTACCATCTCAACCATTTAAGAATTGATTCTTTTTTTTTATTTTGTGTTGGTTTTTTTTTTACTGAATCTCAATTGTTGTTTTTTATTTTTCTTATGTGTAATTAGTTACATTTTAATACTTTGTATTAATTTTACTGTATATTGAACAAAGTTTATCTGATGTAAGTAAAGTGTGACATTTTTTTCTATAGTATATAGTGTCTACAGGTAACTGAAGAGAGTGTATCGTAGAAGAAATCTTTAACTTCGAGTATATAATCTTCTAGTTTGAGCAGAGATGAATAGTTAGCTGTATGTATCTACATTTTAGAGTTGATGTTCACTGTGAAACTTGAGCCTGGTAACGTTCGCTTGAAACGCTATTTCGTTATCGACTTATCTACTGACTCCTGATAGCCACTAGCTTGTGCAATGGGATGAAGTGTAAATTCATTTTTATATGGGTTGTTTGAATCTTACCATTGATATTTAGGACTACAGTTGATCAGTCTTATATTGGCATATATACATCCCTTAGTATCAAGGCTATCCGCCCCCAAAATGCCCTGGTATGGCTGAGAGTGGGGTGGGCCCTCTCTCCCTCTCTAAATGCTCTCATACGGCCACGCGTATACAGCCTCTGCAAGGGAAGTCCTACTCACTGCCTTCTCGTGGTAGGGGTGTTGTTTACGAAATTGAGAGGACGAAAAGCGAATGTCCGGCGCTTTAACCGGATTCCAAACCAATGGTGCACATGGGTTCCAGTATCCTACGGGGACAAATGGCATATGAACCAATTGTTGGTCACCGGCTACCATGTGACTGCATCTCTTTACGTTGCTCCACTGCCTTGTGGATCAGACCTTCAGGCCGAAGGTTTTGGGTGTGGCCCCCTAAGTAAACCATCTGCTTCAGTTTGGGCACCCGGTCAGTATCACAGCCCTCACACAAATCAAGTGACTAGTGTGGTGCATATGTATTTGGTGCCTCCTTGTACCAATGTTTATGTGTTTAAATAAATAATGATAAATAAATAATCAAGGCTATCCACGCAGGATGCACATATACTAACAAGAGACTGTTCAATTACAATCCTAAATTTCAATGGGAATATTCAAACAACCAATACAAAAGTGAATTTCCTATTTTACTGTATTATATTATATCAGTTAGTTCAATCTCATGTAACTAATTGACAATCCACATTCTTAATTACACAAGGTTCAATTAATCCATTCGAAGTTGAACGTACTTTTGCATACAAATCATGTGTTTGAGAGAATGAAAATTGATGTGTAGTTATCATTAGACATTCTTAGAACTAGTGTTATAATCATTTGTCTATGAAATATCATTTGAACAATTCTGCAATGCATGTAAGGATCTGTATAACATTAATATAGGGAGTCATTTGACACATATCTCGTAACTAAGAGACTAGACAAGCATGACATTGATCACCACCCAGTGATCAATCAATTGTGATTACATCTCAGTCCTACAGGAGGTCAGTCGCGGCTCAGATAGCTCAGTGGTAACGTCTCTGACTGTGAAGCGGGGTGACACGAGATCGAATCTGTCAGGGAGCACCAGCTCCCTCAAGATAACAGGTACACCTTGCTGACGAGTGCCAAGTAGCACGAAACCCGGGTCCAGGGTTTCCTCTTGACTACCTCCAACCACCATCTAATCTCAATACATAGTGCCCGCAGTGTCGAGTCACCTAGACTGGTGGCCACATTGCAACATGGCCGATAGTATTCGATCTGCACTAATAAGGACTAGACACGCATGACATTGATCGCCACCCAGTGACCAATCAATTGTGGCCTAATAATCTTCCATATTTAGTAACTTTCTCTAGGAACAATACTTTTGACTACTGGATATGCTAAGTAATTCGAAATGATTAATTTAAATTTAATTTCATTATAAAGTGTATGTTTAAATACATGGCGTTTCTAAGTCTCGCATTGTACATACATGGGCGAACTGAATACCATCCTTGTACTGAAACTTTAAGTACGGTGGGAAGATGTTTAAACTGATGGATTAATGGTTAAAAGTTGGTCATTTTGACGTGTGAGACAGTTTCCTATTTTTGGCTCACTGTGCTCGAATGTAAGATAATTGTTTTGGTTTGATAACTATTGCCATTATCACAATTCTCTTCCTGAGCTTAGACGAAACGTGAAACCGCAACGATGTAACGGAAAAAAAAGTTGAAAGTAAGAAAAAGTAAAGACAGTAAATGAAGCTCTCCTAGGACCTTCTCGTATGGTAGTATGCTGTGTATCTTGATGCCTTTCGAAATGATTGGAACTTAGTTATACTCTACATGTGTCTGTTCTCCAGCTAGTTGATTCAACATCTTACTTACTTACTATACTTACGTCTGTTACTCCCAATAGAGCATAAGCCACCGACTAGCATTCTCCAACCCACTCTGTCCTGGGCCTTCTTTTCTAGTTCCATTCAATTCTTGTTCATTTTTCTCATGTCTATTTCCATTTACCGGCGTAATGTGTTCTTTGGTCTTCCTCTTTTCCTTTGGCCTTGAGGATTCCATGTGAGTGCTTGTCTTGTGACGCAGTTGGATGCTTTCCTCAATATGTGTCCTATCCACTTCCAACGCTTCTTCCTGTTTTCTTCCTCCGATGGGATCTTGTTTGTTCTCTCTCACAGTAGTTTGTTGCTGTTGTATCTTCTAGATGATGACTTTCGTAGTTCTCAAAGTTTCCGCCCCATACAGTATAACTGTCTTGACATTTGTACTGAAAATTCTAACTTTGGTGTTGATTGACAGTTGTTTTGAGTTCCGTATGTTCTTCAAGTGTAGGAATGTTGTCCTTTCTTTATCCATCCGCGCCTTAACATCTACATCAGATCCACTGTGCTCATCAATGATGCTGCCCATATATGTAAAGGTTTTTACATCCAAATCTTCGCCAAATGTGATTTGATTGGTGCATTTGTGGTGTATCGAAGAATCTTACTTTTCCCTTTGTGTATGTTGAGACCTACTACTTATGAGGCTGATGTTACACTGATCATCTTCTGCATTTATTGATGCATGTATGATAGAAAAGCTAGTTCATCATCTTCGCCTGGAGCCCTTTTGAGACTACTGCCGCTCTTAAGTCCCAGATAAAGGAAGATGTTTGGGCATGGTTTTAGCGATCCCATCCCCTAAAAAAAATAATCCAAACACCTATTTCATATGTGTATATGTATATTTCTAAAATAGGACTAGGTTTGAAATGCATAGAAAGAATCGTAAGTTTCATATTGATCGATTATCAGATATAGATATATCCATCAACGAATGGAAACATACTACAATACTTTATTTGTCATTCATTATTTAGGTGTATACACTCTTTGTCTTCCCTTAAACTTTCTTTCTGTACTATATTTTTACATAAAATCTTTCCTTTATATATTATATCATTGAGTTAACTATTATTTCTATGAATTCAGTGTTCATCTTGTTGTGCTAACGAGTGAACTGTAATAACTTGAACCGATACATATATATGCCTGGTCCTATATTGTAATTAATTGACTGATTTAATGCTTATTCCAATTGTAAATGTTTGTTTTTTATATTGTTATTCTATTTATTTTTAACAATCATATTCTTGTTTTGTGGAATCCAGGACTCATGTTTCGTCCTATTTGGGACTCGTCAGCTTTGCTTATAATGCTTTTAAATTAAGGCAATACGCACAGTATGCATATATGCCAATAAGAGACTGATCAATTTCAGTCCTAAATATCAGTGAGAATATTCAAGTAAAACAATATCAAGTGAATTATAATTAAATTCGTTTATACCCCTGTTTGATCCAAGTTTTTGTACATTTGATGTTTGTTTGTTTGTTTGTATTTCGTCACTGTTGTCGTCAATGTGATTTTTCACGTTTCCGTACAATGAATAATGGATCTATTGTTGTAGTGTTATATAGTCAGTCAGCAACAGCATAGAACTTCGTAGGTATGTACGTACATCACTTCAAGTTGCCATATCACATTAACACAGAGTTTCAATTGTCGATTCAAATCCCATAGTGATAGAGATAGTAAAAGTATAAGCAGTAATCGGAAACATTAGGCTTTGAAGATGTTATTCAAGGAGTATTAGTCAGTGAAATAAGTTTGGAAAGAGAAAAAAAGGGAACATGAAGAATTCAGAGGATTAGAATTTGGGAGAACACAAAGACTGGATGAACCAACGCCATTGCAAATGATTTCGAGCTATGTCACATTCAACGTCTCTAACCATCGATCGCTATCATCTCGCGGATCCCAACCAGACAGTCCACACCTACCAACATGGCTCAGTCCACTTGTCAGTGACTTCATGGATTTGTGCCATGTTTTGGTCTGGCCGTCACTAGCTTTCCTCCAACCTACTCCTACGCAACAAAACGTCGAACTTCGAGGCAGTCGGTGATTGGGCATACGTAACACTTGTTACAGTCATCTGAACTGATGAAGTTTTACTACTTCATCAATTGATTTGCCATCCTTACCTAGTACCCGTTTCCTAACAACTACATTACTTACTCGGCGGTCCCAGAATATACAAGCAATGCTTTGAAGACATTTATGATCGAATACTAGTAACCTACGAATATCCTCTACTATTACCAGCCATGTTTCACAGCCATAAAGTAGGACGGAACGAACTGCTGCACAGTAAACCCGTCCTTTGGTTGGTGGACGGACATCTCGCCTACGCCATAAATGACGCAAGTTGGCAAAAGCTAGTCGAGCCTTCTGTATCCATGCTCAAATTTACACTAACACATCAAAGAGGCATATGTTTTTGTGGATGGATCTGACGGGAAATAATACACTAGCTTATTGATTGAATTATTTTACATCGATAGTTGTATTTACATGGTAATTGTTTCGTTCCACAAGTATCAAAATCAAATCTAGACTGAGCCTAATTAAGTAAGTATTGAAAAGCAAGTACCAATCGATAGTTGTTTCATCAGTAGTGAACATTCATGAACGTTGAACCTTTAAACCTGTAGGT